GGGGGGGGGGGGGGGGGGGGGGGGCGAATACTGTACAAGTTACCGTTGCAAGGAGAGAGGAAGGGGGCAGGGGGACTGTAGAAATAGCTGGTCTTAGTGCAATGCAAGTCACAAATGTGGAAGTAGGATATTGAAGGTGAAAAGGTGGAACTCTATATGTGAGTATCTAAGCATATCTTTGTTCATGTCAGGTTTTCCGATTACAAGTGAACAACGGTATTCCCATTAAGAGTTGGATTGACGATCCTTTGGATTCTGCTTTAATTTCATTGCTTCCATTTTTGGAGACCCTGGCTGATGCTGATGATGTCCGCCCTATTATTGTCCAGAGATTTGGTAACAAGGAATAAGAGCCTTTCGTATTTCTTATTCTGTTGTTCTCGAATATGGTGGCTCCTTGCCCTCTCTCTTTTTCACAGCAAAATTAGCTTCTAATCTTAGATGCTTATCTCTATCTCATCATTGAGCTCAAGTTAATTAACTGTTGAATAAACTTGTTTGTCTTTCTTTGTTGAGTCAGACCTAGGTGCTTGCTACTTTCTGTTTTCTTNTGTGCTTTGTCTTTTTTTTTTTTTTTTTTTTTTTTTTGGTGAAGTTAGGTTTAGGGAATGTCTCTTCAATTTTATTGTACAGTTCTTGTGCGTAGATATATATGAGAAGAATGTATATGAATTTTAATGTTGTGAAATATAATTCTTGCAGGCTGTTGCTTTCTCCCTTGCTACTTCTTTTTGTGTTATCTAATTCTACTGGTGTTTTGGAATGCTTTCTTTTGATTATTATATTTAAATCTTTGTCCATTTCATAGTTAGATTTGGAACCTCGGACTTGGATCTTCTCTTTCTTCTATTTGATACTACACAAGGTAACACAGTTATTAATTTTGAAAAATTTACGTCATTTACACTTGATGTAGAGTCAGCTCTTCAATAAGGGTCTATCAGAGTTGAAGGCCGTTTGAAAGATTAAAGACAACAAATTCTGAAGTTGGTGTACAAGGTTATGATTTAGCATATTTCAAAATAGTGGAAATTGGAACTTGCTGATTTGATGTAGAACCTCAGAGTATGCTAGGTTGAGCCTAATGATTAGATCATTATATTCAATCAAATTGTCAAGCGTTTAAATTTGAATCCAGACATAGATATTAAATATCTTGTAAGCTTTAGATTGTTAAATATTGTAAAGCCACGTGGAAGTTCCATAATAAAATTTTAGAGGACAAGGGGTTTAGTGGTATTGGAGAGATTGGGAGGTTTATGACTGATTGTTGAATGTAGCTACTAAAGCAAAGACAAGAAAGCAATCATAAAGCAAACCACTGAACATACTGCTATCCTTGTTCATGTTACGTATCTATTCCTTGTGTAAGTTGTGTATTTCTCGAGTAGATTTCATTGACACATTTGACAGTCATGCTATTGATATGTTCTCATCTGTAAATTTTCACTTGATTAAGATTAATGTTACTTGGTGGTTTCATGCTGTGAAGTATTATATCTAATGATTAACATCTTTACCCAAGAATTAGTTACCTGGAGCAAACTAAACCTTTGCCGTTTTTTAATCTAATTTGTTCTTTTATGTTGGAGTTTAAGCATGGACGTATTCAAGTTTAATGTACATTCTTTGTTTCACTACCGATTATACGTTGATTAGTGCTTTGAGCCTAGTGTTTTTACTTCTTGACTATCAACTATATTCATGCATGTAAATTAGGAAACCATTAAACACCTTGTTTTAAGATTTTTGGAGACTATGATCACTTATTTTATATCTGCAACTCATGACAAAATTAATATGACTTCCTTTAACATGTTCATTTCATCTTACTTATGCTTCGTACCATTTTGTTCCTTGTTGACTATCGCTCTATGTGTTCTACAAGTTTAATAGTTCTACAGTATTGCACTTCATGGATGGAAATGGGGGTTGTGAGGAGTGGTTACTAATAGCAAATAAGGCTTCCTATTTGGAAAAATGAAAAGAAAAAGAAAGAAAGAGAGATAGATGGGGGGGGGGGGGGGGGGGGGGGGGGGGGGGGGGGGGGGGGGGGGGGGGGGGGGGGGGGGGGGGGGGGGGGGGGGGGGGGGGGGGGGGGGGGGGGGGGGGGGGGGGGGGGGGGGGGGGGGGGGGGGGGGGGGGGGGGGGGGGGGGGATCCAGCAAGGAAAAAAGGAAAGAGAAGAAAAAAGAGAAGAAAGAAGAAAAGAACACCGGTATTGAAGAGTATGGTACACCATTTTTCCTTAGTATATTATCTTATGCATGATACTAACATTTATTAACATGCGAATCTTTGTTGTTCATATTTCATTTGTTAAACTGCTTTAGTTTAGTGAAAATTTCTTTGGAAAAAAAAAGTGTGGAAGTAAATATTGCTTCAATTTGAGGTGCCGTAAGTTAAATTCAAGATTCAAGAGGAACCTAACTTATTTACTGGGTTAATGTGTATTTGCTGCTATTTTCAGCGCGATACTTCTAATCTTGATGATGACGCCGCAATGAGGAAGAAGTGTCTGCTCATAACTTTCTATTCCTATTTCAGGAAAACAGTGTCCCAGCTGAAGGAATGCTTTTGGTATATATGCTTCTATTAGTAGAAGGGTTATTTCTCGGTGTCCTTGGGTTGCATAGTTTAGCATAATGATAGATGACGATTTCTGTCTGTTATGCTATAAGAAGTTTTATGGTTTCTCTGCAGGTCTTTTGAAGGGTCAGTTCTAAATTTCTCCTACCAGGAAAATTTTAGGTACGCTTATAATTCTTTTCCTTTCTCTAAGATCTAAGAGCCTATTTGAAATGACTTTCTAAGTGCTTAAAAATATTTTTTTCTCATAAAAACTCTTCTTAGAATTCTAAATAGGTAATAATTGTTAGGTTCTGATTTCTATTTCGCCATGATTGGTTGCCTCATGCTCAAGCAACATCCTTGTATGATGAGTAATTAGCAGAACGGCTCTCTCTGTAATATTCTCTTCCTCTTGGGACTTACAAACTCTCCTACTTCTTGAATGTGACAGATTATGTAATTTTATTGCTTTTATACTTCCTGATCTGTACATAATGCTTCCTCATGTTTTCCGCTGCTGAAGAACAGTGTTGATGAAAGATGTAATTTGCCACAAACCTTATCTGATCACGTTAGTGAGCCTGTCTACATCTTTTATCAAATGCTAAGCTTGATTGGCGAACTGAATTGCATTTTCTGTAGGTACACTGAAAATTAAATCATTGTAAGCTGCACCAATGAACACGAGATTACAAATATATATCGAACTTATTTGAAATAATTGTTTGTTTGGTTATGTAAACGCCTGTTGCAGATACTTTTAAAATTGACGTGTTATTTGATAAAATTGAAAATTCAGAACAAAAATTTATATAATTTGATAGGTTGAGGGTGATGTGAATGAAATTTTTTCTTTTTTTATTTTTATGAGTAAGGATGAACATGAACTAAAAGTGGAGAACACATTGCTAGCTCCCAAGGGAATGTAGTCCTAAACGTAGACATAGGCTACAATTTTATTCTATCACTATTATGGCAGAAACCCTGTGATAATTTTCTGCCATTTTCCCCTCTTCTTAGTAACCGAACACTAATTCCTCCCCCCGACCTCCGCGTCTCCTTTGTATAAAAGAAAATCTAAATGCCTTCTCGGCCTGCAGATTGTAATGGACCAGATCCGAGTCGCTTTCTGCCTCCTCTTACATGCAATTTGTAATAAGAAGTGAACCCAAGAACACGAAAGAGAAGAAGCTCGTGACTCGAATCGCGGAGCTTGCTGTGTCTGATGGTTCTGTTCCGAAACCGCCGGTGTCGGTCGGTGTGGTATCGGTTGGCGTCGTGTCAGTAGGCATTGTGTCGGGTGGTGTTGGGGTTGTTATGGTTGGGGTTGCCGGCGGCATCGGAGTTGGATTCATTGGTGGATTGATTGGTGTTGTTGGGCTGCGTTCGCATAAACAAGTTAGATGAGATTGTTTTCCTGCTATTTGAATTCGGATTCTAACGAGGGAACTATTTTCCAATTTACCTCGGCGTTGATCTTGATGCTGCGTAGCGACAATTTCCACTGCCTGCAATCATGAAGAAAAGATATGTTCACATTTCAAGCTGAGGAATGATTATCTAGTTTTATCGGGAGCTGGAATGTTCGTATTCCAGGATTGAATTTTATTCTGCATAGTAACAACTTCAGCAGATAGGAAACAATTTGGAAAAGGAATATGCTCAGTTTTTGAAGTCCGAAGGTATGAAGCAAATTTTGGGTTTTTGTTCAAAATGAAATGAAAGAGGAAGCATCAATCATGACCGAATACCTACAGTTGTATTGTTTGGAGATGAAGTATTGCCTATTTTCTGTTATGGTTCTGAATTAAAATAAACTTGAAGTGATGATCTTTCTTACTTGGGTCTGTGCTGGTGAGCTGCGCAGTTCCTCCAAACACGCAGCTTGTGGGTGCTGGATTCTTCTGGTAGTACTGGTTGAAGGCATAAGAAGCATGGTCTCGCATAGTGTTGGGCTCAAAGCAACTACCTCCCGTTTGAATTGCCGAGCAATCCGCGCCCCCATATCCGCAAGCATAGTCAAGAGCTACCTGCAAAGCGGTTGGGGAAGCACTTGAACTTGCTATGCACCAACTTCCACCGCCTGTGGTTGTTGGGGTTGTGGGTGTTATGGTTGGGGTTGTGGGCGTTATGGTTGGGGTTGTAGGCGTTATGGTCGGTCCGGTAGGGATTGTTTGTGCTGGCGGTGATGTTGGATCCACAATCGGGGTCTGGGTTGGAGTTGTGCCGCCGCCTGGGGTGGTTGGATTCACAATGGGGATTGTGTCCAGTTGAGTGTTGGATATTGAAGTTGAAAAGTAGGGTATTTGTTCCTCCTGATTTTGCAGTACATAGTCTTCTTGGTTTGCTTCAAAATATGGAGTCCGTGCAATACTTGAACCTGAAGCCACAAAAAGCAAGGTCAGTTCCTTCTTGTGAAAAAGTGAAACCTCTTCACATTGTGATTATCTTAGAACAACCAATAGGAAAAATGCAGAAAGATAAGGCATTGATATCATTGTGCAGGAAAAAAAAAAAAAAAGAAAAAAAAGAAGGCATTGAACGCTGATTTACCTAAACTGAGGAAGATCAACAATGAAAGTAATGCAGTATGGAGGCGAACGCAGGTACCCATCTCTACAAATTACTTCCAATGCTTGGTTTTGGACGTTCAAAGGTTTTTGAACAATGACAGGACCAGAGATTTGATATGAAATGGGTTTCTGTAAAGAAGAATGAGCCTTTTTGGCGGCAAGCAATATATACAGGGAGGTGGGGCGACAGAATCTAAGCTTTCTTGGATCATCAAGAGTGAGAAAGAAGGGGAGGAGAATATGAGGAAACTTGAGAGAGGAGGCATTGTATATTTGAATAGTTGGGAAGCGCAAGCAAGGGAAGGTTTAGAAAACGAAAAAAGGTATATGGAGAAGGAAAGGCCCGCTGTGAACTCTATACTGATTCTGCAGTTTCGTGTGGTGCCATTTCCCTTCTCTTTAGAGCTTCAGCTTTATGTTACTGAATCAGAAAGTTAAAGGTGGTGTTGGGTTATGGGTTATGGGTTATGGCCTATGGGCGATAGATTTGTGTGCACAAGTTGCATCTTGTAGTTTGTGATCAAGAATATTGTCCCCTGGAGAATCTGTTTAGGTACCGAAACAAGAATCAAATCCTTCTCTCGCTGCCTCCATTTTCTGTTGTGGCATTTGATTCCTTCTTTTAGAAACAAGCCCACTTATCCACTCAACTGCCAGATACTACTGATCCAATATTCTAACACAACACAACTGACATCTCTCCGCAGACTTTCTGAGTGGTTCGTATGATCATACTGCCGCAAACCACACACCCAGCTCTTAGCCCCCAAACTACTTCCCATATTTGGGGCCTTTTCTTACAATTTTGGTTGTTTTTTTCTTGGTATGATATCTCTGGTTTGGGTATTGCTGTTGAGTTCAACGATGGAGAGATCGAATTATTGGTGTTTTAAAATCATTTGTGAAATTGAATGACTGAATGTTGAAAGGTTAATACTATATATTTCAGAAAAGCTAATGAAATTGTATCAACTACTCAACATGACCAACTCCAAGCAGGTGTGATTGAATAAACCAATCTACATCAGTTTTAGAGGGACGATTCCTATTATTTCTTATAAAAGTTTTCCTGGCAATGTATTTAAAAATTGTGAGGCTAACGTGATAGGTAATGGGTCGAGTAGTAGATGACAATATCTGCTAGCGGTGAATATGAGGCGTTACAGAAACATTCCTTATAAATGTTTTTTATAAATGTGTAAAAACTTCCATCGGAGAATAATAATGTTCCATATTCGGAGGTTATTTTCCAGATTCCTATTTTAATAAATTGAATAAACTGATTTAGTTTTTCCAATTTTGACTTTTGCGAATCCCAAAGGACTATCTCTTCATGGGGACTTTGAATTTCATAATATATCATTTTTATTTTATTTTCAGTTTTGAAAGAATTATTTAATATTCCAACACAGCATATGAGCATGTCGGAATATGATGGCCCACTTTAACAACATTATGTTTATATACTTGAGAAACGGACTGTAAAATAATATAGGATTTTAACAACACAAAGACATGAAGCTAATTTAATATTTAATACTTACACTATATTCTATCAGCAAATTATGTCAAACAAGTACAATTATTCTTTAGCCCAAGAGTCTTCTCAATGCATTATACCCTCTTAAAGTAACCCTAATTATTCTTCACTCTTAAGCATTAAAATACTTTTAATTTCTTTTAATTCTTTAATTTCATTATTCTCTAAAAACAATTTTAAATTATGTAGTTTACTGATTATTTATATACGTTTCCACATATCTTTTATATTATTTATATACAAATTAATTTTAATTTAAATAAATTACAAAATTAATATCTCATAGTTTTATAATTGTTTTCACAGATCTACCGTGCAAAAAAATGGGCCAGTGGACAATGAGACAGAATAGGCCCATAGTTTGAATGTTGGGCCCAATATTAATGGGCCAACAAGGCCGCCGTCACGCGAAGATTTTGAAAAAATAAATATGCATTTTGGATAAACACGGTCCTATTTGGCTATTTTATTTTACATTTTAAAATTCGGATTTGGTGTAATTAATTAATTGTTTTCTTAAAACTTTAATTCCTTAGTTGTTTTTATAAAATAAATTAAATTGTTTTAGTTATTTGCTTGGGCATTGTATTTAGCTTTTCTTAAAAAAGTATGGATTCTAATTCCACCTTTAAGAAATAAAAAAGAATTCAAATTATTTTTTTAATATGTAGAATAAGATTCTAATTTTTATTTTATGGGAATCTAATATTTTCACAAAATTTAATAAAATAAAAAATACAGAATGTTAAATATTTGTTACTAAATTGCAAAACCATTTAATAGCATTTTTGTAATTATGTATTTATTTTTATAGCGTGGTAATCGTATTATTACTTTTTTATGTTATCTGATAAATCGACGTCGTTTTGGGATTTTGATATTATTGGTATTGTTTTAATTATTTATTTAGGTTCCCAAAAAACGAAAAAGAAAAAGAAAAAGAAAAAAGGAAAATTGGGGGAGACAGAGAAAAAAAGGAGGGACACTAGAGAGAGAGAGAGAGAGGGAAAGGGTTTTCGATGCGTAACAAAAAGCAGAACGAGAGACGAGAGACGAGAGAGAGAATCGTATACAGTGCATCGACAAACATATCTTCTTCCTGTCACGGCGGAACCCTAGCGGGAGACGGACTAAGGCCTGCCCTTTTGAAAGGTCTCTCAGATCTGAACCCCCGGCCGGCGAGGGAGAGAGGTATCCAAACATAGTCAAACAGTATGGGTGCCAAAGGAGGAGGAGGCAAAAGCACCAATGGAGCATCTGGAATTCCGGCCGAGTGGCGGAAGATGGTCCAGAGCTTGAAAGAGATTGTAAATAACTGTACCGACCAGGAGATCTATGCTACCCTAAGAGAATGTAATATGGATCCTGATGAAGCCGTTAATCGCCTCATTACGCAAGGTCTTTTCTTTTTTCTCCTATTTCCACGTTCACGGTTCTCTATTTTTCTTGCGTCGGAAAGTTTAATCATCCTTGTGTTTTACCCGCCGGGTTTTGCCGCGAGAACCCTTGGTCGTGAAATCCAAGTTCGTACTTGATTATGCAAATGTTTTGTTTAAATGTTAAAGTTGAAGGTTGTATTTTCACTGTCGTCGTTGGTGAAGTGAGACCAGAAGGAATAGTCTTGCCAACTAATGTTCGTGCTTCTATCTCCCATACGAGACATTTATGCTTTGGGGGCTATTAAGTACATGTTTTTAGAATGAATATCTTCTAGGACATTTGTGGTTGTGCGTTCTGTTAGTTTCTCTCTGTGCGACTCTAAAGGCTTAAAGATTATAATAATTTTGTTCTATCGTTGTGTAGACCCTTTTCATGAGGTGAAGAGCAAACGAGAAAAGAAAAAAGAGGTGCGTATGTGTGAGGAATGCAGATATTTGTTCTAAAAGCTTTTACCATGTCATTCAGATACTGCATTCATGTTGGTTTAGCTGGCTTTAGCAGATAACTTATCTCATACAACATATAATTGATCTTGACATATTTTCTCAATGTTCTTCACCCCTCTCTTTTTTCTTGCTTCTTCAGAATAAGGATCCGGTTGATTCCAGATCTCGTGGTCCTAATATCCCTTCCAGTCGTACGAGTAAGGGTGGTCCAGATCGTTATGCCGGACGCAGTAGCTTGAACCAGTTTGGTTCTAGTGGTATGTGAACGATTCTTTGTAGCTGTAAATTTCATGAGTTTTTCACACATTGTTGACGTACTTTTTTTTTTGTTAGAAACTGGTGTGTTGCACAGTAAACCTGTGTACAAAAAGGAAAATGGAGCTAATGATCACGCCGGTTCGTCTTCTGCATCTGGTCAATCCGGAAATCACTCAAACTACCAATTTCCATCTCACAGGTTAAATGTTATAAGATTACGTTGTACTTGTCAATTGTGACGTACTGACTACTATGCAATGCAATTCCATGGTTGAGCGTTATTTTTGGATACTGAATAATGAACTCTTTGCCAGTTATGTTTCAAATAAGTATATTATTTTTCTCCAATTGCTGGAGCAATGTGAAGTTTCCCTTTGTCGAATTTTTTTCTTATGTGATGCTGAATGTAGACAAGTAGGAAAAATTTTGAAATTTGCGTCTGAATTTTAGTTTTCAAAGAAAGTTTTTTTTTCTTTTCTTTTTTTACATTGTGGTATGCTTCATGTAGATTATTGATAACAAAAGAAGTATGAAATTTGTCTTGAAATAGTTGGAAAGCATTTCCTGTCCTTTGTATGACTAAATATTAACATCAAAGCTGTATCATTCATTAAAGGGTAAGAATTGTGGTGTTTTAGGCTGAATACTCCTGTACTTAAGTATTTTAAGTTTCTGGTTTTTGGATTGTTTATATGATCTTGAAAAATATTTGTTACATTGCTAACTTGTCTCCATCAATTGTCTTAAGGTTTAGATAATTTTGTTGATCTGGTTTCTTTAATAGGGAGTTTTTTTTTAAATGCCCCTGCTAAAAAGGTAAGAAGCACAAACATTGACACACGACATGGGCATGACAACATGTCAATTTCCAAGAAAAGGACTCGACACATTGGGACACGTTAATTATTAATTTTTTTTTTTAAATATGTGTGTGAGGGTGAAAGAATAATTGTAAACAAAAATATAAACAGAAGAAAAAGGAAGACTTTCCCTTCACGAAGATATGAGAATAAAAAAAGGGAAAAAAACAGAAAGATGGAGAAGTTGCTGTGGTTCTTGCGAAGCTGGTCACTGTGGGGAGTTGATTCATGAGGTCGGTCGCTGGTCATCTTGGGTCTTGGAAAGCAATGAAGGATGAAGTGGGGTGTGAGGTCTGACTAATTGTTGGGAGTCAATTAACTAAACATTAAGATTTTTTTAAAAATGGAGTGGGCCATAAATGGGCTGTGGTTCTTGGTTCATTAATTTCAGCAACTTTATGTGTCCCAATGAGTCCAAAACATGCTCATGACATGCTAAAACGTGTGTCAGATACATGTCGGCAGCATGTTGGTGTCCAACACTCACGGCCATTTTGGAAGTGTAGGTGCTTTATAGGCTAAAATGAATGCATGGAGCATGTTTTGAACATGTTAAAGCATCTTTTGGAGGTGTTTATATCATGAGTTAGGCTTGTGTAACTTGAGATTACATAGTTGAGCTTTTCATGGTTAAGTGTTAGGTCAGCTACGACATATTATTATAATGTCTAAATATACTCAAATTATATAATTCCCGGCTTGAAACCTATCTTTTATGCCAAGTTTCTAGAAAAATGAAAATGGTTTTGTATTAAAGTGAGGGGAAAAACTATCGTCTTTTATTTTTAATCTATTTTTTGGTATAAATGTGGAAATCATTGTATGATGGTTAGCACGGGAACTTTTTTCTTACTTAAGAAAATGAAACATGATTTGACAATTTACTTCCAAAGATTAGAGTTCTATGTATCTGTGCTTCTTGTTGATGCTAAAATTATCCTTGATCTATTGACCTGTGTTAAAACTTTTATGTATTGTTGGAATATATTTTGAATTAAAGAATATTTTGGATGAACTGAAACTAGTCTTATATGCTCATAATCACTATTGCAGCAACAATGTGGTCACGGAAAATAAATTATCAGGAATAGGTGCAGGAGATGGAGCAATCTCATCCTCACAGTCCTCTTTTGGCTACCAATCTGCCTGGTTGGGTGCTCAGGGCCAAGTATCAATGGCTGACATTGTTAAGATGGGCAAGCCGCAGGGCAAGAGTTCCTCCGTGCAAAACGCTTCCCTTCAAGGTGCAAGTTCTCACAACAGTGTTCCATTTCAGTCTACACTACCACTCCAGAATTTTCATTCAGCACAACATCAGGCATCCTCAGTTTCAGAAGCTCACTCTGGACCAGGTATTACAAGTCAGCAGGTATCTCTTAATGATGAATGGCCCACAATTGAGCCTCCTCAAGCTGTTGGTATCTCTAATA